GTGAATTGTTAGTTGTTGGATTGTTGGTTTGTGGATTGTTGGTTTGTGGATCGTTGGTTTGTGGATTGTTGGTTTGTAGATAGTGTTAAAAATGACACGGTTAATAATGTTTCCAAACTACCTGATGCAGTTAACAATAAAGTTGATAATACAGGTGTACCTGTAAACACATCTAGTATAGTACCCAATACGGCTGAAGACGTTAAGAATACAGTCGACGGTGTTAAGAATACGGTCAACAAAGATAATCCAGTCGACAATATAGTTAATGATAAAATACCCGAAACGGTCGACAACGTTGTTGATACAGTCGACAGTGTTAATAATACACTCAAAAAAGATAATCCAGTTGACAATATAGTCGACAGTGTTAATAATACAGTCAACAATGTTAATCCAGTTAACGATATAGTTAATGATACATCTACTAATGTAATACCCGATACGGTCGAAAACGTTAATAATGCAATCAACAATACAGTCAACAGTGTTAATAATACACTCAACAAAGATAATCCAGTTGACAATATAGTCGACAGTGTTAATAATACAGTCAACAATGTTAATCCAGTTAACACTATAGTTAATGATACATCTACTAATGTAATACCCAATACGGTCGAAGACGTTAATAATGTAATCAACAATACAGTCGACAGTGTTAATAATACACTCAACAAAGATAATCCAGTACCTGTAAACACATCTAATATAATACCCAATACGGCCAAAGACGTTAATAAGACAATCAGCAATACAGTCAACGGTGTTAATAATACAGTCAACAATAACAATCCAGTTAACAATATAGTTAATAATACGGTCAAAAACGTATCTAGTACAGTACCCGATACGGTCAAAAACACAGTACCCGATACGGCCAAAAACATCAGCAATACAGTCAACGGTGTTAATAATACAGTCAACAATAATAATCCAGTTAACAATATAGTTAATAATACAAATGTACCCGTAAACACTTCTAATATAATACCCAATACGGTCAAAAACGTTAATAATACAATCAACAATCCAGTCAACAGTGTTAATAATACAGTCAACAATGTTAATCCAGCTAACAATGTTAACAATACGATCAATAATGTAGGAAATGGTATTCCTCCCGCAAATCCACAACCTAACAGCAATCCACAATCTAACAGCAATCCACCTGACAGCAATACACAACCTAACAATAACACACCATCTAATAGCAACCCACAACCTAATAGTGACCCTAACAATCCACAAACCAACAATCCACAAACCAACAATCCACAAACCAACGATCCACAAACCAACAATCCACAAACCAACAATCCAACAACTAACAATTCAC